AACCCCAGACTGGCACAAAGGGGCTAGAGGACTCATCCTTCCCAATCCAAGAGAAGTATCTCGGGCCCAGGGAGTGCCTATGTTTGGCATAGTGCCAGTTCTGGCAACTCTGAGGCACCTCTTCACAAGATGTTCCAGGGTGAGGGGAAACCCATATGGGATAGGAGGAGGTATGGCCAAGGCAGCTCTGTGCCCAATTCTGCACTCCTACAGTGGCCCACAGTGGACAACATAGCAGGAGTGCCACTTCAGAGCAGCCTTCAGGGCTGCTTTAACCTATGCAAGGGCCCACACCAGCCCCTGCATCCTTGAATTGGGAAGATGCAAATGGCCTCCCAGCAGTTGCTGGCCCAGTGCCTGTACTAGCTGGGATGAATTGGACTCCACAAGCCTCGTGCGCCACAGCTACGTACTTTACATGAGGTGGGTGTAAAAATACTTTTCCCAGGTGGAAACAGAAACACAAGCACACAAGGCACTATGGCGGTCAAAAGGAGCATTAAAAATGCAGTGTAAAGGGCATTAGTGTATGAGAATCAGGGCCCAAATTTGGACTGGAATTTTTACTGGGAGCAGAGGGAATAAAAATTAACAAAAAAAGAGAAGGGAAGTGAAGTGGTGGGCAAGCAGAGACAAAGAGAGACTTGCGGGAAAGGAAGCTGAAGTGCAAGAGAGAAATATATATGACATATATATATGACACCTGCCCCTGGCAGCCTCACTGTTTGAGAGTCTGCTCTTACTCTATCCCTGTGCCCTGGGAAGAAAAATATACCCACAAATGACTGATAGTGCATCCAGTCCACACATCTTTATGCTACTAATAGTGTTTAAAATCTCATGAGCCAAATTAGCATATGGCACAGGAAATCCGCTCTCAAGGGAGCAGAGTGGGGCCTACATTCCTCCAAAAGGGAAAGGGCTGGTCAGGATGCAACCATAGCCCTGCCTTCTTCACATGATACAAAGAGGCTAGTTAGTGCCTTATGTTGGGGCACAGACCAAGGTACATGCCTGCTTCAAGCACAACAAGGGCTATGAGTGTACATGATCCCTCATGCTGGCTTAATGCTACCAGCCACCATTGCTTGGTTTGTGCATCTCCTGTCATGCATTGCCCTCCCCCCAACCCAGACTTCCCAGTGTGGATTTTAAGAGCCATATCTGAACTCAAATTAACAATATATGTGGGTGGTTAACATCACTATCTTTGACGGTGCAGCATCAGTTCTTTATCTGCTGTAAAAAGTAGAATCATAGCTTTTTTTACAGCCAAACGGGCAACAACCAGACAGCCCCCACATTTGAAGATACTAGCGCAAACATGAAAGATGAAAACTCTTTCAGTGTTTCTTGTTGCCATATGTTCAAAGGATAAAATTCCAGACAGCATCAACCATCTTCTGTGTAACTCAACTATTAACTGGAGTGAGACTAATTACTCCCCTACCTTTAATGAGCAATGAGAAATTCTCCCTCTCTCTTTTTTTAAGCAAAAGATTTATTGCTCCATTTTAATGGCGTTTTAACATTTCCTTCTCTTTTAATCAACAGTGCTAAATTCATGTAGATGCCTCTGCAGCACCAGAGCTCTCTGAAAGCTGATCATAGAATCATAGAATCATAGAATATCAGGGTTGGAAGGGACCCCTGAAGGTCATCTAGTCCAACCCCCTGCTCGAAGCAGGACCAATTCCCAGTTAAATCATCCCAGCCAGGGCTTTGTCAAGCCTGACCTTAAAAACTTCTAAGGAAGGAGATTCTACCACCTCCCTAGGTAACGCATTCCAGTGTTTCACCACCCCCCTAGTGAAAAAGTTTTTTTCCTAATATCCAATCTAAACCTCCCCCACTGCAACTTGAGACCATTACTCCTCATTCTGTCATCTGCTACCATTGAGAACAGTCTAGAGCCATCCTCTTTGGAACCCCCTTTCAGGTAGTTGAAAGCAGCTATCAAATCCCCCCTCATTCTTCTCTTCTGCAGGCTAAACAATCCCAGCTCCCTCAGCCTCTCCTCATAAGTCATGTGTTCTAGACCCCTAATCATTTTTGTTGCCCTTCGCTGGACTCTCTCCAATTTATCCACATCCTTCTTGTAGTGTGGGGCCCAAAACTGGACACAGTACTCCAAATGAGGCCTCACCAATGTCGAATAGAGGGGAACGATCATGTCCCTCGATCTGCTCGCTATGCCCCTACTTATAAATCCCAAAATGCCATTGGCCTTATTGGCAACAAGGGCACACTGCTGACTCATATCCAGCTTCTCGTCCACTGTCACCCCTCGGTCCTTTTCCGCAGAACTGCTGCCTACCCATTCGGTCCCTAGTCTGTAGCGGTGCATTGGGTTCTTCCGTCCTAAGTGCAGGACCCTGCACTTATCCTTATTGAACCTCATCAGATTTCTTTTGGCCCAATCCTCCAATTTGTCTAGGTCCTTCTGTATCCTATCCCTCCCCTCCAGCGTATCTACCACTCCTCCCAGTTTAGTATCATCCGCAAATTTTCTGAGAGTGCAATCCACACCATCCTCCAGATCATTTATGAAGATATTGAACAAAACCGGCCCCAGGACCGACCCTTGGTGCTGATGCTGAAAGCCAAGCAGTACTATTTTTCAATAAATCGCAAGCTAGTAACTTGAATATGATGTTCTGGGGATTTGCTCAATTAAAAAATCAGGGTTACAGTTTTAAACTATCTAAAATGGAAATAGCTTTTTACAAATTCAGTGATATCTAAAACCTATAACCATAAACTCTCCATTGTCATTCTGCTGTAAAAAAAAAACAGTAATACACCTCACAACTGGGGTGATGAACCAAGGAAGCTACTTCTGATTACCATGCAGCAATGAGATGCATATAGTAACTAGTTTCAGTGGCTATATTATGTGCTAGAAACAGTCTCTTAAATTCTGCTGATTCATGCAAGTAGATGTAAAAAATAATCTACTCTTTCCTTGTGGCTAGGATTTGGTGAATAGAACACACTATTCATGGTCTTGACAGGCTTAGTATAGTCACCATGTGCTATAAATATAAAACATTCTTTATGGAAATATTATTTTTTGCTTGAGGGAAATTGTTTGAATTGAAGGGGAAAATGAGCAACCCAAACCCTGCTGAAAACTTTTGCTATCAAGGAAATAAGTGTACAATTTTCCCTCAGACTTTGCTGTGTTTAATCTTTTTCAACTTCACAGTAACTAGACTTCTGTCTGGCTGTTTTACACATTAGCAGAATGATCAGTTCAGTAGAAAAAGGTTAATAAAAATATCACCAACCAGCAAAAATCTGTTAAGACTTGCGCAGAACCAGGATAATTTTTCACAGCATGATTTAATTTCAGTAATGCCATCCATTCCCAGTGAGTCTTGATTTGTTTAAATATCAAAATTGATATAATATAGCATCAGTTTTCAGGAGCCCTATGTAGCAGCCATTTAGGTGGACACTAAGACGGATTCAATTACAGAATCAGGACCTTAGCTTGCATATATATATAGTGCAATGAGGTATTTTTCCACCAGTGATTCAAACAGAGGTCATTTTCCCCAGAAGAAAACGTTTCTCTTCCTATGCCTACTCCTGGACAACAGAGGTCCAAAATGTTTCTCAAACTGTCTGGTTAGAGTTTGTTTCTATGAATTCTTTAAAGAAGAGATTTACCTTCACATGTTTATTTAAGTGTCATAAATTTCATGTGACCTAGAGGATAAAATATACATCAGTGGAAAGGCTTTAGAAGTCAGAAGTGTTTTTTGTTATATTTGAAGATGGTTCTGTATATTATCTTATCAAAGATTTATAGTGATTGCCTTAAAAAGTGATTGCCTTAAAAAGGCAATATTTGCCAAGAATTGCCACACCATCATATCCGAGATGCCACAATATCTTTTCACTTTAGGGAAATATTGGAATGTATTACTATAAAAAACATTTTTAAAAATAATAAAATAATAAAATATTTCTAAATATAAATATTTAGAATTTAGAGAGACAAGTATTCAGCTGGTGTAAACTGGTGTAATTCCATAAGGAAAGTGATAGATAAAATAGAAAAATTAATTATGGCACTATATAAATCGATAGTATGCCCACACCTTGAATACTGTGTCCAGTTCTGGTCACCCCATCTCAAAAAGGATGTAGTGGATCTAGAACAGGTTCGAAGAAGGACAACAAAGATGATCGAGGCTATGGAGTACCTTCCATATGAGGAGAGACTAAAACAATTAGGGCTGTTCAGCTTAGAATAGAGAAAACTAAGGGGGGATATGATAGAGGTCTATAAAATCATGAATGGTGTGGAAAAAGTGAATAGAGAATTGTTATTTACTTTTCCCACAATACAAAAACCAGAAGTCACCCAATAAACTTAATAGGTAGCAGGTTTAATAAAAACAACAGAAAATACTTTTTTCCACACAACACACAATTAACCTGTGGAACTCATTGCCCTGGGATCTTGTGAGGGCCAAAAATATCATTGGGTTAAAAAAAAGAACTAGGTAAGTTCATGGAGGATAGGTCCATCAATGGCTATTAGCCAAGATGGCCAGGGATGCAACCCCATGCTCAGGGCAACCCTAAACCTCTGACTACCAAAAGCTGGGAGGGGAAGACAGGGGCAGATCACTGTTCTGTAGACTCCCCTGAAGCTCTGACACTGACCACTGTGAGAGACAGTATACTGGGCTAAATGGGCCACTGGTCTAGCCCAGTATGGCTGTTCTTATTGTATAATCTTATATACCTGACATTAAGTAATAGACAGTGACTGGGCACTCTGAAACATTTGTAGAGGTCATTTTGTTTTCCATTTAGAAATCTGACTTTGTATCCTAAATTAGTTCAGAAGGGGAAAGAATTTAGAAGTCTCATAATAGTCTCTAGAGGCTAAGATGCAATATCTAGTTAAGTGAGTAAAAGGGTAAGGAGCCAGGAGCTCATAAAAGCTGTTACTAGCTCTAGCATTGACTCACTCTGTGACTATGGGCAAATCATTTAACTTTACGTGTTCCAGTTCCCCATCTGCTGTAAAAGACCCACAGCAGAACCCAGCCTCAGTTCATTGCCCTCAGCTACTTCAGTTAATGAACCTGGCTTCTCAAATAGTGTTCCACACCCACAGCTGTGTATCTGGTTCCACTTCCTGTTTCCTGCTCCTGCTCTCAGCTCTCTCCTTGCTCCTAGATCCTGTTCCTGGTCTCTGGCTCTTGGTTCCTTCTCCTGGCTCTGCTCTATCTGATACTCTTGTTGCAAGCTCTGACTCCTGGCTTCGGCTCGATCCCTCGACTTGGCATTCAGCTTCTGACCTTGGCTCCTGCTTCCTGGCTCTTGGATTTGGCTCACTCCCTGGGCTTGGTGTGACAATCAGAGTCTAGACACCAAAAGGGGAGAACAGGAGGTCTGAACCTCACAGAATAAGCAATTGAATCACTTGGCTGTATATAATGTAATTATGTATAAATATATGTCAAATAAAATCTTTCATGAAAGCATGCAGTGTTATGAACTTGATGGTCATTAGGAGATATATGTCCCGGTTATGGTTATGAATGGATGCACGTTATCTATGGTCTGGTCTACAATACATAGGTTGACATAAGGCAGCTTGCATCGACCTAACTATGTCAGTGTACATACTACAGCCTTGTCCTGCTGATGTAAGTGCCCTACTATACCGACATAATAAACCCTACTCCTCTCATGGAGGTGTAGTTAGGGCGACACAGTGTCTGTGTAAACACTGCGTTACTTACATGGCTTTTGGCTGTCTTGTCAATTTCACAGCTCCTTTTAGGGCTCCACTCTGGAGCCGTGAAATTGACAAGAAAGCCAAGCAGCTGGAGCCCGGCTGCCTCCAGCTCCCCACTCCCAACTGGGCTGTGCCCGCCTGGCTCCCCACTCCCTGCTCAGGGATGCGAGAAGCCTGGCCGGCTGCCCCACACTCCCAGTGGGGAGGCAAGAAGCCGTCCAGCTGCCCCCCACTCCTGGCTGGGAGCGGGGAGCTGAGATTCCGGAGGCAGCTGGGGCTCCCAGTGGGGAGCTGCATGGAGCTGAGAGCCCTGGCTTTCAGCCCCCCACACTGTGGCTCTTAACTCGGTGGAAGCGTACCTAGTGACATAGGTTGACTTAAGTCTGTAGTGTAGACATGCCCTATGTGTAGAACATCACCTCACAGCAGTGCGAGGAAGGAATCAGATAGCCAGGAGCACCTCACAAAGTTAATTACACAAAACTAACCCCAAACCTTAACATTGTACAACCCAAGAAAAGATAATTGTGCACCATTAAAGTTAATGGAAAGACATTGACACTGAAAAGAAAACCCTTGCCTTGGAAAACCAAGGAAGGAGGGAGCTTCCTCTGCTCTGTGTAAACATGAATTATCATAGTCTGAGAGAAAGGAAAAACAATAGGGCAAGCCCTGTTGAAAGGGAAGACCTTCGAAGCGAAGGCTATCCAGAAATCGAGGGTCAGAATGCAAACTGGGTGCTGTCTATGAAACACTGGATCCCTTCTAGGACAGAAGGCAAGCTGAGAAAGTGCCCAGACGCAATAGCTAGCTTGTATTAGAAAAGGGAATCTAGATAATATAGTAGTGTAAAGCCTGAGGTTGAAACTTTATGTTTAGTTTCTGTGTAACTTTTGTGTGTTTGCTTTTCCTTACTATTTCTTCTTTGAATCTATGATTTTTCTATTAAATAAACTTTTTTTATTTTCCCCCTGAGCAGGTCTCTGTTGTGCAAACTGGGTGGAGTGCACGGCCCAAGTGGATTGGTAACTGAGGGCAGGTTTCACTCCTTTGAGGTTGAGGAACAAGAAAGAAAAATCTGAGTGTCTGGTAGTTTAAGAACTCAGGGGGTGGATTTGGGGAGACTTGGAACTAGAAGGGCTGTTGGTCACCCTGCAAAGAGTACTGAGGGTGAAAGTGAGGGTGAGATGTTTACGCTTGCAGACTGGCTACTGGTGTCAGAGCTCTGGGCCATAGTAGCACAGGATTAAGGCTCCCAAAGTTACAAGGCAGGTGTTAACAGAACCCCTTACTGGTCTGAGTGATCCCCACAATGTCAAACTTGGTATACGGCTTCTAACCCCGGCATTGGGCCCTAGTTCCTGGCTCCCAACTCCTGGTCACTCCCCGGGCTTAGTAACTCTGCTCCTGATTTGGGTTCTGGCCACTGCACTTGGTGCCTCCTGTTCCAACCATTAGGCCACCTTCACACCCTGACCATTAGACATGGCCACCCATGGCCCAGGCCTTACCATCTATAAGGACAATAAGACATACTGGCCTGCCTCTGCAGGGGGTTAATGAGAATTAACTTTTTGCCATATAGCACTTTGGAAACATTAACTCCCAAATATTCATGTTTTTCTTCATCAAAAACTATTTCCTGATTCAGCACAAATGTCTGTTTCTGCTTAGAGAAAAATCAGGATTCAGATGTATTAGCTTGGTTCCTGCAGCTCAGAATTGAGGTAAACTGACAGCAATGTGTGGATAAATTTGCTTAGTGCCTGCTTTTGCTATACCTGGCTCTAGAAAGTGCTATGCATCTTTTACTTTCACAAACCCCAGATTTACAAAACAATATACAACTTGATGTGGATCTCTGCTGAATGTGGTTTTATAATATGTTAGTCCTTCACGTATGGTAGTCAATGAAATATGGTTTTATACAGATGACTAGGTTATATGTGGGACATAAACTGATGCTCTAAATCAGTGGTGGGCAACCTGCAGCCTGCTGGCTGCACACGGCCCGTCAGGGTCATCCACTGGCGGGCCGCGAGACAGTATTTACATTGACCATCCGCTGGCATGGCCGCCCGCAACTCTCATTGGCTGGGAACGGCAAACCGCAGCCACTGGGAGCTGTGGGCGGCCATGCCTGCGGATGGTCAATGTAAGCACTGTCTTGCGGCCCACCAGTGAATTACCCTGATGGGCCATGTGCAGCCGGCGATCCGCAGGTTTCCCACCATTGCTCTAAATATTTCAGTATGTGAAGCATTAGAAAAACTATCCATTGTCTTCTGAGCTTAAGTTTTAAAATAAAAATATACAATAGGTAATTTCATTAGCTGTGTCCAAAAGAAATCTCTTTTAAAAATTAAAAAAAATGTCCAGTTTATGCACCTGCGGTATGTCAGGTGAATTTTCTCTCTAGACTTCCACTTCCTTTACACTTCTTTGAGCCCAAATCTCTGTTGCTTCCAACTTTGCTATTTCTTGAATGTAATGGAGATGAGGAAGCCACAGGCCCAGTTGCAGTCCCCTGATCCTCTAACAGAATTTAGAGGATAAGTAGGGGCTATGCCAATTTCTGCCAGTAGAGGAAACTGCACTAGTGGAGGATTAGGCCCAGTGAAGTCTGACTCCGCTATGACCCCTCCTTCTCCGACTCCCAATATGTCCTCTCCTTTATGCCTGGAGTGAGTGGCAGCTGGCTTTACTGCATCATAAACAGCCCCTACACAGGGGAAATTCTCCAGTGGTCATCCCCAAGTGTTCTGAGTGAACTTGGTGAACCAGAGGATCCTGCACATATATCAATCTATGTGGTCTTTATCCTTCAGTTTCCTTTTTTCCCACCGAATAAGTAATGAAATATGAATCCCCATACATTCATTTCTGAAAACAAAGCATTTAAATGCCAGACAGAAGAGGTCCGGTGGTGATAAGTGAAGTGTCCGATCATCGCTGTGTGTTGATGGAAAAGCCATAGGAGGAAGCCAACACATGAACTGGAATAGAGATATTAGCTAGGAAGAGTGTTTTGTATGACTAGCCAGTTGGTCTGAAATAAGGAGGAATTTCATTCTGCTATGAATGCAGAGTGAAGTCTAACATAATGAGTAATACTTCCCCTGAACTGCAGTGCAAGCTGTAGTCATGTCCAGAAGGACATAGAAAAAGACCTAGTAGTGCGGGAGATGAGAGGTGAGCAGGCAACAATTTTCCCATCCTGTGAATATCTTGAGAGTTCAGAATTTTTCCCCATGTTGAATCAGGATGAAGAATAGAAATTGTGAAAATATTTGTGAACCAAAAAATGTAACTTTTTTTCTCATTTTGAGTCAATGGAAACATTTCATTTGATGATTTTTAATCATTTTATTTCAATTTTGACCTTTTTAACTTTTTTCAATCTACTTAACTTAAATTTCTAACTGAAAAGTCACTTCAAACCAGAAAAAAAAAACTTTTTCAACAGAAAATATTCAAATGAAGTCTTTGGACAATGGAAAACTTTTGTTCTAAACATATTGTTGAGTCGGGAACTCTGGTGAATCTGATCCCGTTTGGGTTTTGATGTATTGGCATTTTTCAATAAAACAAAAAATATTGTTAAAACAAAAAACACCAGCTCTATAGGAGGGTGAGTGTATCAGGTTTTTTGTTTGTTTTTTGGGGTATCTAAGACGTGAATTAAAGTACTTGCCGAAACCAAACAAGTTAGTAAACCCCCACAGTAATCCATCGGATGCATTTTTGTTTGTTTTTGTTTTCCTAGAATTAGACTCAGCACTCTTATTATATCTGGGCCTTTTATACTATGCAGAATATGCTTCTGTGGAAATTTCCAACTGTACCCTTTACCTCCTTTTAACAAGTGTCATTAAAGATTATGCAAAATGCATATGAACATATATTATTCTATTCATAACCTACTCCATGATTATTACAATGGACAATATAACCATTTTTTTCCTAGGGAGAATTGCATTTGCAGTTTCTACACAATGCTCAAGCAAAGTGACTTGCCCAAGCATTTCTGAAATTTTAGCCCTTGAAATGAATATTATATGATCAAGAGAGATTGTGGTTCATTTTCTTACAATGATTAATACCTTGCTTTACAAGAAGTCTAACTGAAGCCAAGGGTGTAAGATGCTACTCAATTTGTTAGAGCATGATAATCTGACTTTAAATTTGTGAATTAGTTGTAATAATTTGTAGAAGGAAAAAACAAATTCTCACACAGTTATCAGAGCTGATGAGGTGGTATTCAGATGTTAGCTGGCAGAAGAGAAGAGATGAGGTTAGGTCACCAGACCAGGTGAAAATGTGAGACCTGAGTAGGTCTGTTAATACTGCAGGAGCTTAAGTGTTTTGAGATGAAAAGAAATAGAATTTGAAGACTGTGAATTGGTAACAAAAATCAAGCAACTTCCATTGGTCTTGTCCCCAAGGAAGTGTCTGAAGCTGCAATAGGAGTACAAAGTGCATTGTGTTCAGCAAATACAGAATCTATTTCACAACCTGAAAATCTACTTTGAACAAACAATAGGCCTACTAACCAATCAAGTGGAACAAATTACAACTGTCAACATCATAGCAGCTGTACTAACTTGGTTATTTAGCATGACCCTACAGCAGAAGAGAAATTAGATGTTCTGATAACATTTAGACAAGTTAAAGTGATCAGCAGTCTAGCTTGGCAAACAGCATAAACTATAGAATGAAGAGGCCTTCTAGATAGGCCTTCTCAGAAATATGGCTTGTGTGCTAAACTCCCGTGCTAGCATCACCCAAGAAAAGAAAAACATAATTGCACAGTTACTAGCTAATTACTGCTCTTGTGTAATTTCTAAGCAATACACGTTTGTTGATGGTGAAATCTTTTCCCAGTATCTTGAAAGACATAGTGGAACTGATATATAATGGCTGATCAAATTTTGTTTTCATCAAAGGAAGGTTTTGAGAGCCACCTGTGTGATCTTCTCAGTGCTATCATCTGGGAGGGAAAAGTATTTTATTTAAATATACAGTATATATCTAAAGCAGCATCTATCCCTTTCTCTAGACGCCCTTTGGCAATTTTAAATATTGAGGTGTATCTGCTATGGAGGGGACTACAACTCCCATCAGTCCCCTCCCCAGACTTCCTCGGACCAGATAAGCAGAAGTAGGCTCTGCCTGGGAGTGGGAAGGGTATGATGGCAGCAGGGAGCTGGGGAGAATGATGGGCAGAGCTCCATGTGGAACAGGCTTATAACTGCTTCTCATCACATCTGAGTACAGATCTGTCCAGGACTTATGAGGGAGCAGCAGTGACTGGGGAAGAAACCAGTGCAGAGCGGGGTTGCCATCTGTCCAGTTTTCATCCAGACAGTCCGGGTTTCAACTTGTATGTCCGGGTGCCATTTGACAAGCCCTGATGTCCTGTTCTTTTGATCTGTGGCAACCCTAATTGAAAGGAAGGAAGGAGTGCAGCAGCCACTGCTGCCTCAAATGCCAAGCTGTTCATGTGGCTTGCAATGGCATGTGGCATGCAGTGGGGAGTCTGGGGGGGAAGAGGGGGAGAGGGGGGTGCAGAAGAGTTGGAACAGGATTGAGGCCTCGAGGGAGGAGGCGGAGCAGGGGCAGGATCTTGGGGCAGGGGTGTGGTCTCAGGGGGTCCTGTGCCATTACAAAGGTGGCAACCCTAGAGAGGGGCCCCAGAGAGAGACCTTAAGTGAGCCTGCTTGGAAACCCGCACATACTTATTTGCCTGAATAGAGACTGGACTGGAGAGGGCCATCCATGCACCAGGCCTGAAGAGCCCAGACTTTCTATTGGACTGCCCCAAATTGGATCCGCTGTTGCTCACTTTGAACTGTAACTGTTCAAACCTCTATACCTAGGATATTTGCAACCTTTCTCCATTCCTGCCAGCCCTCATAAAAACCTTTCCCTCAGCCATGTGTCCGCGTGGTTATTGGGACCCCGAGCCAACAAGACTTGGTGCTGAAGCACCTCCAGAGGGTGTCTCCAAGACGCAGTACCCCAAGCACGCTACTGGCATACTAGGGAGTTGGGGTACAGAGTAAGCCCAATACATACAATACAGTCATAAAATAGACCCCTTCTGTCATCCCCACTTTCAACAGTTAATAATCATATACACAGCAATCAGCAATAATCCAGCAGCAAAGTCACAGTGAATAGCTTTAAGATCTCCCACCAGAGCCTTTGCATTCATTCACAGGTAGGGAATACAAAGGCCTTGCTGCCAGGAAAAGGTAATATTGTTATTTTTGAATTTCATACCCACTGTTGGCAGCTCAGCGAGTGGCTCAGAATACCTTAGAACTGCACTGTGCGCATCATTCATTGATGGCTATTTGGAGAGGGCGACAAACCATGGCCTTGACTCTTCCCTGCCCTTCCCCAGCCATTTGGGGTCTTTATGTCTTCCTACCCCCTTTCTGGGTCACACTGAGAGAGTAGTCTCTACACTTCCCCTAACCTCAGTGACTGCATTGTGACGGCCCCTTGCATAGGCCACAGAGGAGAGGTGGGGAGGCCTATGTGAAGGACTGTCACAGTCTAGCCTATATGGATAAGGAAGAAAGAGAATAAGAAAGCGAGGCATGGCTTCTTATATGCTGGATATTCTCCCTGGGGAGCTGCAGTTCACCAAAACTCCATTAACTTTACAATTGTGACTTACACTGCATGGGTTTTATTGCACAGTAGCTGTTCCCTGCTAGGACTGTCCTACTTTCGCATGATTCAATTGTTACCTCAGAGCTTTCGTTTCTTGGTGCTCCTGGCTGCAGATGTTGTTTCCAGTTCTTTCGTTTCTGCTAGTTTGTCTGTGACAATTATCTGCAGATGATAAAAGCCAAAGTTAAGATCTTGAAGTATATTCAGAAAGCTGCAAAATATACAAAGCTCTGACCACAGGCTCTGCAATATAATAGATAATACTTATCGCCAAAAAACAGGCAGCAGAGCAGCCAGTCAGCTTTCGCGTGCACTAATATGATCACACTGTAAAAACTGAAAAGAGGATACTGTTGCACTGACGGATAATTTCGCCAATTACATTTCTTTTCAGTTACCATATTTTCCCACATGAATACTTCTTTGATTCTGTTAAAAGGGTTTTCTTGGATCTGGGCTTTACAATTAAAACAAAATTGGTAGCCATGCTTTTCGGATAAAATAGAAAGCAAAATAGAAACAAATGCAAATCAAGGAAGGCTGTATTGGCTCAGATGCGCCTTGCGTTCCAGATGATTTGAAGCCTGTCATCCAGGCAGAGTAAAACAAAAATCACCCCAGTGTGGGGAAATCTTCTAGTGGTGTAAAGAGGACATAATAGCTACTATGCTGCCCCATCCCTCTGGCCACTGTAAAGGGCACAGTCCAGGGAGAAGAGACCTGGCAGGGACTTCACTTAGCCTTGGTATCACATCGCTGCCATAGCCCCCTTGTTAGTCCTTGGAGCAGTGCTTAGGATGCTGTAATTTATGCCAGGGGGCTGACCTGGTACACAGCTGGCCCAGGTCGGGATGGAGGTTGCAAAAGTATTTTAAAGTATCTGAGTAGTGTGTGCTCCTTGTCTGCAGCTGAGAATCTGGGCCATTAATATTGAAATCATTTAACTTATGTTTATAGTATGAATGCTTGCTGGTGACATGCCTTTGCTCCCAAGTTACCAAAAGGAAATAAAAAACTGTGATGAAATAAACTACTGATAAATGAGATGAATGCCACAAGAAATCAGGTAGCAGCAGCTCTGCCTATGTCTTACCAGCTAGTCACTTTGATGGGGGATGGGGTGTAGATAGCTAGTAAAAGTTACGATTTCTGGGTGCTGCATCGTTTCAACTTCTATCACTTGGCACTTTGCAGAGGGTGCTGCCATTTTCTGAGGCAGAGAGGATACAGCATGTTACAGAGCAGACTCAGGGCAAAATACTCAGACTTAGGTGAATATTCACACTTTAGGCACCTATATAAGTGGCCTGATTTTCTGAGTTGTTGAGTGCCTGCAGTTTGCTAGAACACAACAAGGGAATGGGCCTTATCATGTTCTCAGAGAGACTTTACTTATGTTCCTTCTTCTTTTGCTTTGGCCCTTTGTCTAAAAGGACATCCATTTTTATGAAGCTGGACCAGTTTAGATGCTGGTAGATTTTTACTTATCAACAAAAATGGCACAAGAGGATTTACTCTCCACTGCGAAGGCCAACATAAGGTCTAGACATCACCTGAGTTCCACATAAATCCGCTAAACAATACATTTAAAAGGTAGAGAAGGGGTGAATTTTGCTCACAGTGATCTTCATATCTACAAAGCAGTGGTGGAAGTGTATTCATTTCCACAGAATGAAAAGAGAAGGCTACTATTACACATTTCTCAAGTCAAGATTTTTGCCATAGAAACTTGATAATTATGCTAATTAGTACAAAGTAATTTGCTTTAGAGTAGCAGCAATAAATGATGAAAGATTAAAAAGGGCAGCCATTTGGCTAGATAACAAGGCTTATTTATGAGTTTACATCCTAAAGATAAAAGTGTGTCATTAAAGCTGTACATCATATCATTGTTTTGTCTGTATGTTCTAGTAAGTAAACTATTATGAGAATATGATCAAGTAGGCTTCATGCACAGATAAGCACCTTGTTGTGCCCAAAAAGCAGATCCTTGTATGAGTAATGGCATTGTTGTATTTTTCCTGATAAACCTCAGTCCTGACACAAGTTTAATTACAGGCTGGGCAAAAATTCAGCTCAATTTCTTTCTGCATCATTAACTGTCAGCAAAATGACTTCAGATTTATTAGGCTTCTCTAATCTATCATTGACTCTGTGGTCAAACTGAAACCCCTTGGGGTCCAAACCAGCCTGAGCTCCAGATCAACTGAAATGGAAGCACCAGTGTATCTGCCCAATGGAAGGTCTTCTCCTGAGGAGGATGTTTCCACTTTCCTGCGGGAAGACTGTTCAGTAGACACAGAGTACCTCATAACAGCTCTCTTCTTATTTGTGAAGCTTGCAGTGTGAGGGGAAGGTTCTTCCCCACTGAATAGAATAGCAGTGAGATAGAAAAGAATTCAAAAGAGCTCAAGGCCTGGATTCACTGAGCTTCCCTTGGCTGCTGACAGTAAAGGACATGATTTCTAGGGCTGGAATAACTCCCATGGGCTCCTAAGCAGTGCATGGGCTTCACAAGCAGTGTGAAAAGCACAGAGTTTGTATAGCACCCTCCACTCCCTTTTGGCTGTTCCTGAGGGATAGGTTGGTGTGGTGTTTTAGCTTCTGAGACTTAACCAAACTTTCACCAGAATACACTAGCCTGTAGCTGAGCCAGCATCCATGACTCATGACTTTTCAGGGCTTGGAAATAGGAGGGAGAGGTCCAGATGATCTTCTGACATACACCAGTTTTATACAAGTGTAACTGCATTTGCTTTACTAGATTCTACACTTGATTTACACTGTTGTAAAAGAGGGAAGAATCTTGGATTTTTTTTAGTATTTACTAGACACTGTAATCACTGTCTCGTGATACTAGCTAGCATTTAGTGACACAGCGGATAAATAACCTAAATTTTCAAAGAGTCTGGAAAACTTTCTTTGTGATCTCTCCTTTCTGTACTTCTGCTGGTAGGCAATAGAGGCCAAGAGCTTTCTTACTTTTCATGTTGCTCAATCCTTCTTCAGTGTCTTCTTCTAGGACTGGTACCCCTAGACCAGTGATAAGCTGCCAAAATCTTAACAACCAGTTCCCTCCTCACCCCACAAGGGGGTTGTGGCCCACCCCCGCCCCCTGGGACTCCTGCCCCATCCAACCCCCCGCATTCCTTGACGCCCCACTCGGCACCCCTGCCCCATCTACCCCTTTCCCCGTCCCCTGACTGCCCCCAGAACTGGGCAGGAGGGTCTCGTGGGCCACTGTAGTGGGTGCCCACCCCGCCCCTAAGAGCCAGAGGGACCTGCCAGGGCGAGGTGGGGAATCCCGGCGGTGCTTACCTGGGGCAGCTCCCGGGAAGCATCCGGCAGGTCCCTCTGGCGCTAGGGGCATGGGAGCATAGCTGGGGGGAATGGAGGAGCAGCCGCTCCCCCCACTGATCACATCAAAAGTGGCACCTTAGGTGCCGACTCCCTGGGTGCTCTGGGGCTGGAGCCCCCACGGGGAAAATTTGGTGGGTGCAGAGCACCCACCAGCAGCTCCCTGCCCCACCCCCACCCCAGCTCACCTCACGTCTGCTCTGCCTCCTCCCCTGAATGCGCCGCCCTGCTCTGCTTCTAAACCCCCGCCCCAGCTTCCCGCAAATCAGCTGTTCATGCGGGAAGCCAGGGAGGGCTGAGATGCAGGCAGCGGCTTCGCTCTCAGGCCCAGGGTGACAGAGGTGAGCTGGGGCGGGGAGCGGTTCCCCTGCACGCCGCCTCTCCCCCCCTCCCCAGGTTACCTGCTGCGGCGTGAGCGACCCTCCTCGTGCCCCGCCCAAGCTCACCTCCGCTCCGCCTCCCTGGGCCTAAGCGCGAAGCCGCTGCCTGCTTCTCAGCCCCGGAGCACGCATGGAGTCGGCACCTAAGGCGCCACTTTTGGCTGGTGTTTAAATTTAGAAGCCCTTTTAGAACCGGTTCTCCCTCGCAGGTCAACCAGTTCTAAAAAGGCTTCTAAATTTAACAACTGGTTCTAGCGAACGGGTGTGAACTGGCTCCAGCGCACCACTGCCCTAGACCCAGCTTTGGTTTTATCATACACCATTGTTCTCTTCGATTATCTTCATTCATAAACTTTTCATTAGTAATAATAAGCCTTAAGTAGTAATAATAATTAGGGCTGTCAGTTAATCACAGTTAACTCATGCAAATAACTCAAAAAAAGTAATCGCAATTAATCGCAGTTTTAATCACATTGTTGAACAACAGAATACCAAATGAAATTTATTAACTATTTTGAATGTTTTTATACATTTTCAAATATATTGATTTCAGTTACAACACAGAGAACAGTGTACAGTGATCACTTTATATTATTTTTTTTATTACAAATATTTGCATTGTAAAAATGATAAAAGAAATAGCATTTTTCAATTCACCTCATACAAGTACTGTAGTGCAATCTCTTTATCATGAAAGTACAACTTACAAATGTAGATTTTTTTGTTATATAACTGCACTCAGAAACAAAACAATGTAAAACTTTAGAGCCAACTAGTCTACTTAGTCCTACTTCTTGTTCAGCCAATCACTAAGACAAACAAGTTTGTTTACATTTACAGGAGATAATGCTGCCCACTTCTTATTTACAATGTCACCTGAAAGTGAAAACAGGTGTTCGCATGGCAAGGTTTTGTAGCCGGCATTGCAAGGTATTTATGTGCTAGGTATGCTAAATATTCCTATGCCCCTTCATGCTTTGGCCACCATTCCAGAGGACATGCTTCCATGCTGATGACGCTCGTTAAAAAAATAATGAGTTAATTAAATTTGAGACTGAACTTCTTGGACGAGAATTGTATGTCTCCTACTCTGTGTTTTACCCACATTCTGTCATATATTTCATGTTATGGCAGTCTCGGATGACTACCCCAGCATATGTTGTTCCATTTAAGAACACTTTCACTTCAGAAAATGCAAAGAAGGTACCAATGTGAGATTTCTAAAGATACCCCACTCTGGCACTTTGAGTGCAGAAGGTGGGGGCCCGCAAGGATTTTAAAAATTAATACTTGCCACTCCAGGCTTGTATTAACCTCCCAAGGTTACAGTTTCTCTCTGACCTTGGCTTGGTAAACGCTGCC